TGGTCAATCATCATTGCTTCCCTGAAAGCCGACCTGTGTTCATTATCAAATAAGCTGTGGTTGGGATATTTCAAGAGTGAAGAAATACTTCTGATACTGAGGTCTAGCAACAGGCAGCTAAAACTTGCTAGAATTCATACTAAATACTAATCTTACAGAAATAAGTATAGAGTATGATCATTTTCTAAACAAAGTTCCAATCATTATAAATTACCTGTATGTATGCTTGCATGTGATTTATGTCCCCCAACTTTTGTTCAGAACTTTGTTCAGAACTCCAAAATAGCACAAATAGCGCTTCCTCTTTCTACTTTATCCACAAAAGAACTTGTGAAGTAGGTTGGGATGAGAGTGAAAGAAATCTAAATGTGAATTTCCTTATTGCCAGTTCAACAGTATTTGTAGAAGTTTTCATTCATCACAACAGGAAGCTGATACAATTTGCTGCTCAATATTACAAAGACAGAATTTGGAGAAAGAATAATTAGTCGACTGTTTAAGTCATGTCTATCCCCACTATATAAGAAATGCCTTACTGTCAATATGGGAGAAAACTAGAGAACAGCACTATTTGAAAGTATCAGTCTGGCTTTCCACAATGGAAGCACTTAACCACCTGAACACTTTTAAAATGGGAAATATTGTAAGATACAAGGATATCTTACATGAAAGAGGTGAGCTTAAAACCAAACAAGAACTGGAAAAACAAGGTATAAATATGATTTGGTACTCATACTTGCAAATACAGGTGAGATATGAAAAAGATGTTCAAGCACATGATTTATTCAAAGAATTGACAGAATTAAATAAGATACTAACAGGAACAGAAGAAAGGTTGATAAAAAAAACTGTACAGTTACCTATTAGGCATTCAACTAGAAGAACAAGTGAAGGAGACAATGATAGCATGGGAAAAGAATTTTGGTTATACAATAGCATTTGCTGACTGGCAGAAACTACGGGATACAAATTGTAAAGTAACAATGTCAACCGCATACAAAGAGAATTTATACAAAATCTTTTATAGATGGCATTATGCGCCAGCAAGGTGGGCAAAGATGTTTAAAGATAAATCAGCAAAATGGGGACTTCCGGTTTGTCGGCTTCGCTAGCGGCAGGGATTTGCGAAGCTGCGCGATCCCTGCCGCGCTAGCTGCTTCTGGGGCTCCGACCCAGACGGGTACGGAGCTAGGCTGCCCTGCAGGGGCAGCTGAAGGTTGGGGGGATCCGGAGAAGGGTGTGGGGGTGTTGCAGACCCCCTCCCCGGCCGGCAGAACCCCCTTTTCCCAGGACGGTGCAGCGGCGGTCCATAATGGCCGCCACAAAGAAGCTGGCAGCCGGGTAAGAATGCGCAGGAGGAAGTGGAGAAAGTGCTTGAGAGGAGAAAGTTTTTCTTGGCTCCTAGGACTCTAAGACATATTTAATAAAATTCCTGAAAAGTATGACTTTCTGAATAATACCTGCCAGAAGAGGAAAAAAGCGGCTGTTTGATGGTGCTGAAAGGATAGCTTTCCCTCTTTTCCTACGGAATAAATAACTGGATGTTAAGAAACCTATTTTTTTTAGGTGAAAATTGGTTTTAAGCGATGAGTGGGAAGAGAGAGGATTAAAAAGAAAATATTTGTATGTTAAGACTTTGTTGGAGCAGATGCCTTAAGGATTTGAAGACTAGAAGATATTGCAATAAGACTTTAAACAGATTTGGACTTTCTTTCTTTTTGATTGATATTACCCCAGAAGGAGAAAGTGAGAACTCTGCCTTGGTTTGGACTGACTGATAACTTTGGGACTGTTTTATTTTTTTTATTTTCTTTTGAATATTCTGGTTGTTGTAAGAAGAAAGAAGGGGAAAAGAAAAGAAAAGATTTATAATGGCTCTTTCTGTTGAGGAACTAAGAAAAGAATATGAACAAGCAAAAAAAAAAATGGTAAAGATGGTGTGGAAGAAGCTTTCCTTTTTTTAGAAATGGCGCTTACTAACTATCAACAAACATTACAACAGATGAAGACAGCAGAGGAACAAGAAAGAAAGGAAGGAGCCATCTTTAATGAATCTCAGAATTTGATCAAGAAAGAAGGAAGAGAGAAAAGAAGAAAACTAAAGGACTTAAGATCTAAAAAAACATTTAAGAAAGGGAAAAATAAAGTGCAAAACCAATATGATGATAGTAAACAAAAGGGAAAAGGAATACGACAGAGAAGGGAAGCCGGTAAGGCAGAGGTTAGAAGAAGGGGGGGTAGAAAGGTTTGTTGGGAGAAGAAAGAAAGGGAAAACGTGGAGAAAAGCTACAATGTTTTGAAATTAAATGGAAAAAAGAAATTTTTTATGGACAATGGATAAAGTATAATTTTTTAAAAAAAAAAAGATTTTGCAAGGTACATAAGATGAGATGGTAGTATTGTAATGGTTTAAGAGTTGATAAGAGATTAAAATGTTAAAATGTTTAAAAATGATTGGCTTTAAAATTTAATAATAGGGGAGGTTTAGAATACTGTTTTAATTAAAGAGTTTAATAAGATTATGGTATTGATGTTATTATAAAATTTTTATTATAGTATCTTTTTTTAATATTTGGATTTATTGTCTAATTATGTACTTAATTATTTTGGATGTATTAGTTAGATAGAATGTACCAAGCAAAATCGGATTGGGTATTGGATATTATTTTAAAGATTAATTTGACTAACTTAGGGGGGAGATAGAAAGGCATCATACTCTGATTAATGATTTCAGGAGAAACTTATTTTCTTCTTTTTTATGAGGAATGAGACAAAGGGATGATAAAAAATGGACAAAAGATACAAATATAATGATTCAAACTAAGATGATTAATTAAGATAGAATTAAGAAGGGTGAAATATGTGGAGAAGTTAATATAGAAGGCTTAGAATGGTAAATAAAATAAGTAATGATATGTAAGATGAGCATGAATATAATTGAAGTCCATGAAGAGAGAGACACCTGGGTCCAAGTTACTTTCCAAAAAGATTTTTTTTTATGTTTTGTGTGTTGTGTGTATATGTTTTTTCTGGGGGGGAGAATTAGTAAAAACTTGTAGAAATATAGAATGAGAATAATGGTAATTAAGTCAGAAAGAAATAGATGAAATAATAACAATGATATTGAATAAGAGTAAAGAGAAGTAAAGAGAAATTGAATAAGAGGTTTTGGTATGTTATATGGAAACGGTTTAAAACAGAATCATAATTTATCTGACTTGTTAAATTTACAATGAAAAAAGGTTTAAACATGTAATGAATAATGATAATTTGTGTGTTTTTAAAAATTAATAAAACTTGTTTAAAAAAAAAAAAAAGATAAATCAGCAAAATGTTGGAAATGCTGCCAAGCACCTGGCACCTTACCACATGTGGTGGACATGTGATGAAGCTAAAAAATATTAGACAAAAATATGCTGATGGTTGGAAGAGTTGATATAACAACATATTGATTTAAAACCAGAAATATTCATGTTGGGGATCTTACCTGAAACTTATAACAAAGAAAATGTATATTTGATTATTCATGTGATAACTGCAGCGAGAATTTTATTTGCTCAAAATTGGAAAAAGGAACAGATTCTTACTTAAGAAAATGTGATTAGGAATATATTAGAATGTGCAGAAATTAATAGATTAACACTTGTAATTAAAGAAAGAGAGAAAACTGAATATTATAAGATATGGGAATTATTCTATCAATGGAGACAAAAATATGAAAGCTAGATATAATTAATGGATTAGTTAAGAAGACAATAGGTATTTTTAATAGAAATAAATAAGCTAAGAAGAAAGATAAAGAGATAGTGATATTAAGTACAATAAGCATAATAAGATAAGACTAGAGAATATTATATATGATTGATTGTATGATTGTAAACATCAACTGTATTGCACAAGATATTTGTAACCAGATGACATGTCATCAAATGGAAGAAGATATGTTTGTAATAAAAATAAAATAAAAAAATATTTTTTAAAAAGTCATGTCTATCCCCACATATATTAAGTTAGCTAAACTTAGATAATACAACATAAAAATACACATATTGGGCATCCATCAATATTTTGATGATTTATGGTCCAACTCCCAAATTTTATGACTTAAGCTTATATTCATATATGAAGCAGCTGCATCAGCACAAAATCCTAAATGATAATATTATTCTGGCTCTTCAGACCTGTCATCATGATAAAATTGTTTGCAGTAGGTTTTATTGCTTCATTTTTGTACAATAATTCTTGCCCAAACCTGATAAACCAAGTTAGAACCTTTTCACATGTGAATATATAACTGTTACAAAGAATAGGAGGGAAATAGTCATCCTAAAGAAAAGTAACAGTTGATCCTTCAGAAAGTAATACAGATTCTCATCTCAGCCTATAAGACGCAGTTTAGCAAAGGAATCTATTAAACATGTTAAGATCACAGTTCTATTTCTGAGATAGTTTTTATTCTACCTCATACCTGTTCAGCTGATAACCCACCAATCCAACTGCTGTCATCATTTATTTATTTAACAAGTTTTCTATTCCTACAATGCAAGCATACTTCAAAACAGGAATATTACAAATCTTTTTAAAAGTAATTCTTCGTGACTGGTGAAAAAGTGGCAACCATACTGAGGATAAGAAGCAATTTTTATAATCCTATTTTCTCTCTATAACTCACTATGCAAATCTGCTCAGAAAGGTCACTGATTTTTCAGAATAAATTTAAATGTTTTTCTACCTGTGGAGGTTTTACCATTGGATAAACTTTAAAATCATTATCAAAAGTTAAAAAAAATATTGCCAAGGAGATAATAATTATGCTGAAAATAAATAACAGTTTAATGTAATATTTAAGCTATTTAACATCTGTTCAGGCAATTCATTCTGTAGAATAAGTATAACATTCTAAAAATAAAGTATATGCAACTTAATTTACCCATAAGCGTATTTCCATTTAAAATCAACAGATTTAATATTTACATTCTGTAGCTATACAATAGGCTTACTTGTTTTCATTGCTGGCATCATACCGAGGCATGGGATCAATATCATTACCATTGACATCAAAACTGGCATCTGGGTCCTGTAACCAACAGTGAAGTAAGAAGGAAAGAGAAGGGACAGCAGAACCTCATTAATTAGCTATTGATTCATCTAAATTCAAAAACCTCAGCAGGTTTTTACAGGCATGTAATTAGGTTAACTACGATTCCTGTCGTTCTGCCTTGGATGCTTGTCCAAAACTAAAAGTTTAATTGTATTTAGGATATAGAATTGTTCTTAAAGCCAAAGTCTCATGAGAGCTAGATGAGAACTAATTCATATTCTGAGGACCGCAAGACTGAAGATATTCCATAAATTAATATAGAATCTATTTTTAATAATTAAAATTTAAGCTATTTTGTGTATAACTTGCTTGTGGTATATTGCACTCCCATCAATTTCAAAAAAATTGGCCAAGGATGATAGATGTTTAGATCATTAGAAGCATTTCTTCTAGAAGCATTAGACATCATTCTAACATAGTTAGAAAGACTGTAGGTTGACCACTACAAACAATATATCTTTCAGAGGGAAGGTCAATAAGAACATATGTATTCCTCTTCCCCACCCACTCATCCTGATCAAACTTCCAAGCGTTTTGCTCCTACAAGCAAAAGTGGAACAATTTTGCACTCATTTCATCCCTACATTTGACGGGTGCCCTACATGAGGTCCTTACAGTTTACATTTGCTTCCTTGGTGCTAATGGCAGCCCCAAAGAGGCTTTTTGTCAGTTTTTGCCTTGCAGGATCAATCTTTCCTACAAAAAGCTGCTAAGCTACATTTGCTATAGAAAGCTGCTAGGCTTTCACCAAGATGACTCTCTAGTCCCTACTTACCATCAATCCACACTGGGGAAAGTCTGTGTGGGATGGTACCTCACATTTCCTTCTCTGATTATGCTTCCCCCCCCCTTTTGGAATATAGGGACTTTTTCATATCACAGCTTTATTCCCCCAAAGCTCAAGTAAAGGAAGGTATAGAAAGAGGGCAAGCTTTGCTCCTCTTCTCAGCTGTTTTTTTTGTTTTGTTTTGTTTTGCCAGAGAAGAGATGGAAAACAACTCAAAGAAAGGCACCTATCTGAGGAACCCATAACTACCAATCTAGTGATCAGTGATTAGTTTTGGCCGCCTCATTGTAACTTCATCTCCACCCCTTTTGTGGTGAACAAAATGGGCAAGCTGCAGCTATTGTTTCTGCTTTTCTCAACAGCCAAACAGCTGCAACTCCTACAATGTAAGAAAGTAGAATGAAGCAGTGATAGCAATCTCAACTCTCTCTCTCTCTGTTGGCCAGTCCTTCTTTAGCTCTATAATTTGGTGCACAACCAAACCCTTAGATGCTAATGCTGAGCAGTCCAACTTGTCCACCTTCCATCTTGTCCCTAGCGACTTCTGCTAGGTGGGCTGAGAGAAGTAGATTTTCTTAGCCTACCTAGGGTTGAGACTAGAAGGGAAACTCTTCATGTTTGTGATCCATGGCTATCTGCCAATCCCCTCTATAGAAAGGGATCATACATGTTTGGAAGGAAAAGTTATGAATGAGGTGCTGGGGACAAGTGAATGCATGCCAGCTTTTGGCTGCAGCATGGCACGGATGGATAAAGCATATTCAGGCTACAGAGAATAAGATGAAGGAGGGTGAATAATGCCCATGTGTTGCAACTCCTGTATTTAAGCAATTATTTCTGGATTTATGGAAAAATAATTTCCTTAATTAAAATAATTTTCATGTGATTCTAATTATGCCAATTTTCTTCATCTAAATCCTTTTCAACACATATATTTTATTTCCAACCTGGATTACTTTCATTCTTGCTAAAGGACATAGCTATTTAAGTGACTCTAAGAGAACATTACTTGCCTAAAGGAAATATCTCCGTGTGTTGATAAAGGTTTTGCTAACATAACTTCAATCATAAGCCTACTTTGAAAATGATACTAAAGAGGTATCAATTACTCTTTTTCCTATCTTTAAGGGGTTTAATGAGTGTAAATTTTTATTTTATTTTGTTTACTTTTCATATAGAAAACAGCTGTTTTTGATTCCAGTCAAATGATACAGTTGAATGAAAGGGCAATTTGTATGCATGTGCAGTTCAGGCATGATTTGACTCATATTGACGATTTGAAATTCAAGGGAAGCGTGATTTGATTTGAGTTTGTGATTCAATAGTTGAGGGCAAACCAATTCAATTCAAAAGTTTGAAATTCAATTTTTACAAATGTCATCCGTTATAATGAGAAAGCATCAAAATGTCTGTAAGTGAAATCATAACAACTGACCAGATTAAAAATTCTGAGATGAGAAAGTGAATAAAGCACAAGTACTGTCATTTCAAAAGACTTCCAATACATACAGTATAATAAGATGAAGCAATTCAGTGATTAGGAAAGAGAAGAAGAGGACAGCCAGCTGCAAAATTGCTGGAATTCAATTACAGTGGTGATGAATGCACAGTTGTGGGACTTGAATTTTTTTTTTTTTAGGAATAGATCATCATGTAGAGTATTTATGTGAGCACTAAGGGATGAAAACAACTTGATGGCATATAATCAATCAATCAATTGCTCATGTTAAATGTCGGAAAGGCTATCACATCATTTGACATGACCAGGTATGGAAATAAAGTTGCAATATTGTATATTGTCTATAACAATTCATGACTAGGAGAAATGCCATTGAATATGTAGCAAATTTTGAAAGTATTCCATAGCCATGATGAATGATGAAAGAATGATGAAAATTAGGTCATGATACACATGAAATCACTTTCCCTAGGGACCCCAAGGAAACCCTTGATGTTGGGTGAAATTGAAATCATTTTTCTGCTCATAGATCACATCCTGCCTGTGGAAGCATTATCTTCTCCCTTTGCTGCCTTCTCCATGCTCTCATATTCTACACTGAAGTGTGAATGGATTGTCTAAAACAGAATTTAAGGGTATGCAGTGGGTGTACCATGAGAAATAATATTTTTCCTAAATATTGTCAGAATATTCAGTTGAGAGTAGGAAGTGCAGACCAGTGCAGAATATTGTTTGATTTATCTTTAAATGCCCCCTTCCATTTTTTTTAAAGATAAGTAGCAGAAAAGAGGGGGAAAATATAACAGCTTTTAAATTAATCAGCAAAAAACTTGAGTTGCACTGAACCAATGCAGCAAATGTCCTGCTCTAAGTTAAAAATAATTTTCACGAACTGCTTACAAAATAAGTTCTTTTTTATCTTGCTTTTTGTAGGATGACAAGCTTCAATGACACTGAAGAATGCTCAGTGATTTGGCTTGGTGAGCGACGGTGTTTGTTATGTATGATCATTGGATCTGTGGATATCTAGAGGGCTGGCATCATTATTTGGCAAACTTGGGCTGCCCTGGAAAAGACCCCTCATCAATGGCAGGTTGTATCTTGCAGGCACAGTTATTAAGCAGAGGCAACAGAAGAAGCTGGCATTATGAGATACATTGCCACGGAGACTGGCAAACTGCAGAGAAAGTAACATTCATAGCTTTGCCTTAAAAAGAGGAAAGCTTGCAATTGCCAGTTTGTTATTTGTTTATTCACTATTGAGAACCTTCTGCTTGTTCAAAACATGTGAACTTTAAAAGTAAAGCTTGAGCTAAGAGAGTATATTCTAGGTGCTAAGAAGTGAATTTAAAATCAGTTATGTCGCTAGTAATTGCATGGACACATGTAATTTCATTAAAGAAAGCAAGAATGAAGCTAAGTCACATTCAACAAACAGAGAGGAAATGAGACCCACAGCAATGCTTGTTTTGCCAGCCAATATTGTTTTGATAGGCAGAGTTAAATGAAGTGATAAAACTGATTAGTCAGTCACTTGGGTAAGTGTTGGAGAGTGTAACATATTACTCACATTTCATTAGTATTCTCTATACATAGAAATGAAGTTACAATACCGTGTATTGACTACAACAAGCATGAATGCTATCCAGTTGCTTTGGACAAACCAGTTATAAAACTTTCTTGGCTTGACTTGGGTCAGGGAGCTGAGTCTACATGCCAGTTCCATGGAGCCCAAGCATGGTGCTTCCTGCTCCTCTTCTATTTTCTACAAACTGTGCTTCATAACAAGAGGCGACTGCAATTCAGCTTATATTGTATTTTTATTACGTTGCAAGAAGCTTTAATTTATCCCTAGTTGAATGGTGTGTGTAGGGGCGGGTGGGGTACAGAATAAACACTCCTCTTCTGTTCTTCTGTTCTTGGAGGTTGGGGAAAAGAAAGAATGGGAGCAGGGGCTTTTAATATTTATGTTGTGGAAAAGAAATAACTACTCAAGAAATCAAAACTAGTTGCTGCCTTATTTATTTATGTAACAGCCCCAGAATTGAAGCAATGAAAAAAAATCACTGATATGCTTCAAAGCCACACAGTTGAATTTACTGATTTAAAGAAGGTCTTCTGGTTTCTGACTTTGGTTGTTTATTGATTTCGATGTGTGTCTTGACTAATAAGCTCTGTAACAAAAGTCAACCATTCTTGGATAGAACAAATACCAAGAAAGAACTTCTACTTTCTCATAAATATAATTTCTAAAAATATTATATGCTTAAAACAATTCTTTAATATT